CTCGGACCCTGGGTGTGTCTCGTACTACATGGCATACTTACCATATCTCTCAAATCTGAAAACTTCAGAATCGTCAATCAGAATGGCTTCCTTTATGCTCCCCACATGGCAGGTGAAGAATCTGACGTGTACAGAGTTTATGCCACTTGCCCAACATCAAACAGCTGATAAACGATAGAGACAGGATTTGAACCAAGGCTGGTGCACCTCAAGAAACTGACTCTTAACTCTCAGCCCAGTACCTCATGACCTTTTCCATATCACAACACTCAAAGAAAATGATGATAGTTGTTTAAACCACTGGGGGAAGAGGATGAAGCTGTTTGGGACACATTGCCCCAGGCTGTGCTGATGGCTGCTGTTCCAGAGTTTTGCAGCTGCTCACCCACTTACACAGCCTGCAGCCCCCCAGGGTGGAGTCTGCTCAGATGTTCAACTTTCATTTAATGAATAGTATTTGCTCCAACCCAGGACCAGGCAGTGGTGTTTAAGGACAGGATGCTTGAGCCAGACACTTGGCTTTGAATCCCAGCACCACTGTTCTCTAGTGGTAAGACCCTGGGCAAGTTGCTCAAGCTCTTTGTGCTGCAGTGTTCCCATCTGTAAAACGGAGATGACACTGTACAGTCATGTGCTGCATAACGCTGTTTCGGTCAGCAATGAACCACATATACAATGGTGGTTCTGCAAAATTACAATGGAACTGAAAACTCCTAGCACCTAGAGACATTGTAGCTATCCTAACATCATAGAGAAATTACCTTATTTTTAAAATAGTTTTAGTGTGGCCAAAGTGTACAGTGTCTGTAGTCTGCAGTAGTCTATAGTAATATCCTAGGCTTTCACGTTCACTCGCCACTCACTTACCCAGAGTGGCTTCCAGTCCTACAAGCTCCATTCAGGATAAGTGCCCTACACAGGTGTGCCTTTCCCACCCTCCGCCCCCCACCCCGGCCGGCCAGTGTGGGGATCCAAACCCTTGACCTTGTTGTTATCACACTGCTCTGTGACCAACTGAGCTAACCGGCCAGCACAGGTGACCATTTTTTCTGTCTTTTATACTATATTTTTACTGCCTTTTCTATGTTTAGATACACAAATACTGTTATGTTACAATTGCCTATAGTATTCAGTACAGTAACATTCTGTACAGGTTTGTAGCCTAGGAGTCATATACTGTATCATATGGCCTCAGTGTATAGCAAGCTATATACCATCTAGGTCTGTGTAAATACACTCTGTGGTGTGTGCACGATGATAAAATCACCTAACAAAGCCTTTCTCAGAATGTATCTCCATTGTTATGTGATGCATGACTATACTAACTTCCAATGGGTAGTGGCTACACTCACAGGTTTCCCAAAGAAGGAAGGGAGTAGAGAAGCTTGTGTGGGGCATTTCCGAACTCAAGGTCATTGGCCGGGCTTTGTGGAATGGTGGATTGGTAAGTAGCAGCTCCTCAAACCCAGTCTTTGGATGATTGCCTCAGACACCCTTGCCTATTCTATAAGCAGGACTGTGCTCATCTCATAGGAAACTACATTCCCTGTGCAGGCTGATAAATGGCAGAGGATGTCAGCCACCTGGATCAGTCCCCAGAAGGTATGAACATTGAGTCGAGAATACAGAGCTGATGAGAAAGCCTCTCTATTAGGCCTGAACATACTTAGAACAAACCAGACCTATTCTATGTTTCTATTTTACATATCACCATTTCTGTCACTGTTTGCTCTTTGGTAATGTATCTCTGACATTTCTAAGATCAAACCCCAAATCTCACAAGCAGAGTTCAGAGGGGAAAAGATGAGGTTGATGTCCCTGGCTGGAATATTATGCCAGGCTTGTTTTTCAGTTATGCCAACTTCCCAGAAATTGCTTGACATTTCAAGTTCATTTAATAAATGAGCTGAATGGACCCAAACCAGGTAAACAGAAACATACGTCTAATTTCAGGAAGACTATTTGCCTTCACTGCCCCCTCCAGACTCATACAGGACCCAAGAAGAGGTTTGTTTCTCAGCTATTCAACCATAGGCCAGTTTGTTTGTTCTGTCCCTTGTTCTTTTGCCCTTAGTATGGAAAGACTGCTTTGGGGGAGTTGGAGCAGAGGCTAGATACCCACGTGGTGGGGCTCTTGGCAGTCTGATGGAGACTCTCAGAACCATCTTTCCCCTTTGCTCCTCTGTTCAATGGAGGCCTGAATGAAGCCACACCTCCCAGAGCCAGAATCGGATGTCCATCTCCTCTATCTGTTCCATCTAGAGACTCGACATCAGTGAGTCAGGAACTGGTTCTGGGTGAAGCTTCATAGTGGCAGCCCCACTGTCACCCCCAAGTTGGCAGCATCCATGGGCATGTTACTTCCTGCCTTAGTTTCTGCTCAGTTAGTTGCTGCTATGGGTTAAATGTGTACCCCAAAGTTCATGTATTGGAAACTTGACCCCCATTGTAACAGTATTAAGAGGATGGGAAATCCAGTTATAGTATTCGAAAGGTGGAGCCTTTAAAAGGTGATTAGATTGTGGGGACGGAGCCCTCCCCTGAATGGATTGATCAATTCATGGAGTAATGGGCGTGGTTCTGATGGCTTTAAAAAGAGAGCAAGTGAGAAGCTTAGCTCTCCCTTACTCAGCCCATTTCTCTAGCCATATGATACCTTGGTGACCATGGGTCCCTGTAAATTTCCTACCAAGAAGGCCCTCACCAGATATGCCCCTTGGACAGTGTACTTCCCAGTCTCCAAAACTGTAAGAAATAAATTCTTTTTCAATATAAATTACCCAGTATCAGGTATTCTATTATAAGCAGCAGAAATGGACTAATACACTTGCCCAGGATGATTCTGCTTCTAGTCCAGGGACTTGGTTCTGAGTCCTAGCTCAGGGTTTAGGAACAAAGTCTGTCCCTGGTGGTGGATCTAGCTCACTTTCTGGGCTCACTATGACTCGTCTGTGTACCGGAGTCTCTGCTGCACACTGCCTGTGGATTTCAGATGGGCCCTATGATCTGGAGTAGACCAAAGCTCAATGACTCACATCCAGTTTTCTCTGTGTTTAGATGCATTGCTTTCACAGCCTGACTGAGTCCAGCCTCTTTGCTAGCATTGTGTGCTAAGCCCTGACCTGCCTGAACTCAATTCTCTACCTCCGTCCTGTGGTTGCCGGTCTCAGCATGCACTAGGCTTTCCCTTATTAAATGTCCTCAGCAGGTGACACTGAACAAACTTGGGACTTTCCCAACCTGGAATTCTCTGAGTCTGTGAAGATAATAACACCCCCTGGCATGGATAGAGGGCTTTACAGTTTACAGAGACTTGTCACATGACATCCTCTTCACATGGGGCCTCATACGTTTCTTTAACGTGTACATAGTTTACAGGAGCAAAAGACATTCCAAATATGGCTCTAAGTTCAAGGTCCACCCAAACCTCATTTCTGTTTCTGAGCTTTGTGCTTCTCTAGAGAAGATGATTTCAATTTGACCATGGGGGTCTCAGCTGAGATACCTCAGATAGGTATTTCCTTGAGAACATATCTATTGTGGATTTATTACTTGGCGCTGAGTTTCTTTTAAATGGGATGTTGTTTAGAGTCAAGAATTTAGAGAATGATTGAGATTTCATATGTCTTCTTCCAATATTTAAACCTTGTACCTACAACACAACATTTACTAGAATAACTTAGTGTTTACACACATGGGCTTTGGACTTAGAAGTACATTCTTGTGGCAGAGGCAATATTACCTATTAAGTTTTGTTTTCCTTTTAGTAAGGAGACACAGGAAGAATCCGCTCCCTGACTCCCTTGCAGTGAGGTGGGACAGAACAATAAAGTACACAACTTCCAGGCCTGGTATCTAAAACCTTCTCTTTCCCTTTATTTTCTTCAGTAGGCTGGATATAGAGGACCAAGAAGAGAACTCCAAGGCCTGAGCAGAAGGAAGTTAGGTCCTGAAATCATTGTATGGAAAGGACCCGTATCACTTATCCAATAGGATGTGAGCAAGATATTTTTTTGTGTGTTTATCATAAGAAGATTTAATAGAAATCTTTTATTATGTTTTAGTTCCTAAGATTGGGAATTACTTGTTATAGTAGTCAGCTTTTATTGACTGAAATAGTTCTGAAGCTAGTTTTACAACTAACCATATGATTTTGGGTAAGTCTCTTAATTTTTCTGAGTTTCTTATCTGCATGAAACTTTTCTGGGAGTCTTGCATTAATAAGAGAGTTGTTTAGGATGCAGTCTTTCCAGGAAGCAATAGCTCACCCACCCACTGACTTTCTGATTGCTCCTCCAATATGTTGGGCTTGGTCCCACTTCAGGCTTTTGCACCTGCTCTCCCTTTTGCTTGGATCACTTTTCTCTCAGGTCCTATGGGTTGTCTCATTATTTAGAGTGAGTCTTCAACATTATATCCTTCAAAAAGGCTTCTTTGATGACTCCAGTTAAATCAGTGTCCCTGCCCTCTAATTCTTTATCCCAACTGCCCTACTTAATTTTTTTTATTACATCTATCCCCCGCCTGAAAGTAGGTTATTTATATATTGGCTTATAAAAATATTATCTATTGCCCCACAACCAGAATGTTAGCTCTACAAGGAAAACATTTTCACCTGGATTTCTCTGGAGCATAGGACAGCATAGGCACATTGTAGGTGCTAAACAAATACTGGTTGAATACATGTATAGGTATTGTGAGTATTACATGAGGTCATTATGTAAAGAATCTGGCACGTGGCCTGGCACATGACAAGTACTTAAAAACTGGGAGTTGTTATTGAGTACCTGATTGCATTCAGTCTCTGTTTACATGTCACTCTTTCCCACTTTGTCGTGAGCCTCTCAAAATCAGAAACGAGGTCTTATTATCTTTGCTTCCCAGTGAACCTGGTACACAAGAAGTGATCAATAAACGTTGGTGATTGAAGAGAACCTCAAATTGTGTCCTTGATCTGATGCATTCAAAGACCAACAAAGCTATCCTTGTTCTAAAAAAAATTAAACCTTTTTATTAGTATATTTATTTTATATATAAAAGAAATACAAAAAAAAGAAACACAAAGGAAATGCTTTTATGGCAAATCAGATTTGTCGGTGCTTTCCGCTTGAGCTCCAGGCTCCGGGCCACTGGGTGTCAACAAAGTCCGCCGGTTGTAATGACCCTTGATGATCCCCGTGTTGTTGTTCTCATTGAGGAGCTGCTTCTGCCTTTGCCTGTTGAGGGACTGGACGAGACCCAGGACCACGGCGGCCAGAGAGTACTGCCCGGGCAGTCTTCTTGGGGGCAGGATGAACGGGTTGGGTTGGACTCTTCCCAGGAGAAAGTACGTTTTGATTTTTCCTTCCTGTTCACTGATGCCCTTCACGTAAATCTCCCCTCGGTAGTCAAAGGCAAAGCCCTGCTCCTTCAGGATCAGATAGGTCTCCTCGGGGACTTGGATCCGGCCACTAACCCCTGTGCTGTCCATGCGGCTCGCCAGGTTCACAGTCTTGCCCCAAATGTCATACTGTGGTTTCTTAGCGCCGATGACGCCGGCTACTACTGAGCCATGGCTGATGCCTGCGAGTGAAGCAAAGAGTGAGAGATGAGAGACAGAAGAGGGCATGGAGGTGTGTGGGCCCTCCCTGGGACAGTGTCATGACGCGCGTGATCTCTGCGGATGGACTGCAGCGTCCAGATCCTGCCTCAGTCACTTATTAGATCATGACCTGGGTCAGTTACTTACACTCTCTGAACCTCAATTTTCGCACCTGTAACGTGGAAATAACCCCAGGAACATTTGATGGGATAATATAAGCAAAGCTACTGGCTCAGCACCTGATGACCAGCGAGTGTTCAATATAAGATGATGGTTATTTTTCACATGAACATTGACTAATCTTGGCCCATGAGTTGACGAGAGCACTGAGCAGGATTCAGGATGCTGGGATCTCCTCCTGACTCTGCTGGCAGTGCTCTGAGAGCTTGGAAGGACCCTTCCTGACTGGCCTCCCTGCCCCCTCCCTCATCCTCGCGCAGCCCGTCCTCAGCACTGCTGTGCGCGGGGGGTGGGGGGTGGGGTGGGGTGGGGCTCTTTCTGAACTGCACATCTGATCAGGTTCCAACCCACTTCGACATCTGCCACATTTGCCTGGGCTCCTTTTACCTATAGGATAAAGCCAGCACTCCTCAGAATCACAGTCAAGGGCTTCTCGATCTGGTTCTGCCCACTTTGCCAGCCTCGTTTATCCCACCATCTCCCTCACTCCACACTGTGAGTAAGTCCGCACTCAACTGCTGCAGTCCCCTAACCTGCCGGCCAGTCCCCACCTTCATGCCTCTGTCCTGCCTTTCCTCCTGCTTGGACTATTACTTCTCCCAGTCCCACAGTTTATTTGGTAAATAATTTTAGGACACTATTAATGCCTCCTCCTTTAGGAATCTTCTCTTCTAGAAATGATAGTATTTCACTAAATGTGTTAGTTGGCATGCATGTTTCCTCCTAACAGACTTAGAATTTCTTCATTCTACAAACATTGACTGATGGGGCACATGCTATGTGCCAGGCATCGGGGATACGGTGGGAAAAAAAAGAAATAAAGCACTGACTCTAGAGGAAGTTACCTTCTACTGAGAACAGATAGAAAATAATAAAAAATATGCAATACAATAACAGCAAATGATAAAGGCTATAAAGAAAAATCAAAAAAGGTGAAGGGATAGAGAAAGATGGGAGGGGATGCATTTTGGAGTAGTGTGGTTAGGAAAGACTTCTCTGAACAGAGATTTGGAGAAAGTGATGGGACTAGCCATGCAGATATCTGCATAAGGATCATTGCAGGCAGAGACAAGAACAAGACACACACGATATGATTAACTGGAAATGTGAAAAGCAGACTCTGTGGAATGCATATATATGTCAGTATAATATATTACCCCAAGGATTGGCCCTGATCTTGGCAACATCTTCAGAACTTACTTAAAATATCTCTTTGTTCAGGGTTAAAGTTCTCTTTTTATTCCTGGTTCAATTGTGTGTCAATGATTTCAGGAAGAACATGTAGGGTTGGTGAAAGATGTGGGAACGATCCCTGAGCCTCCCATCCATAGATCAAAAACATAAAATGTAATGTCTTTTTTTCTAAGGAACAAAGGCACATGGCATTCTTTACATCTGACAAGTCACATATTAGTATTTCTTGACACCTTTCGTTGAAATCTGCTAAGGGAGAGGCAAATAAAGTAAAATGGCACAGCAGCCAGAGGATATCTACAAGAGGAGAACTGCAGCAAAAGTTGTTTTAAACTACACCCCAGAAGCCAGAATGTTGTTCGGCTCAGAGCCAGGAGTGCTGGAGCTGCTGCTGGCTCCGTGATCTCAGGCTAGTTACTCCCCTGTTCTGGGCCTGCATTTACTGTACAAAGTGAGAATGTGGACTGGAGCAGGGGCTTTTGGACTGTGCTTTAGGAGGCTTTGAGGCTCAGCAGAGATGTGGAAGGAATTAGCAAACTGTGCAAATGATAAAAAGTTATTATTCAATCGTGTGTTGCTTTGCACAAGGGTGTCTCTAATCGCAAAGGAGGGTGAGCTGTGTGGCTGAGCACAGTGCTATAGAGTCCACCTGTCCGTGGCTCAGTAAGCATCTGACATCCTCAGGGATGGAATACTATTTTACCTGAAGGCATTATTCAGAAGAATCTGAGAGCAAGACATTGACCACCAGTTTTGAGTGACACAGAAGTCAGAATTCAATGACTGATTAGTCAGTTACCTCTCTAAGCAGGACCATGCATGGGTGGATAAGTTGGAAGAGAGGTTAACTATAGTCTAGTGTTTGCCAAAGACCAGGTGCTTTGCATTTCTGCACACAGGCAAGAATCCTGACCTTGCTTCCAGAATCTTGAGTGACAGGAAGCCCAGAAAGGCCCGAGCTGCCCTCGTCCCTGTCCTTGGCAGGGTTGCACTAGGCCTATTGCATTTTGTGGGAAAAAGCTTCCCTGGATTGTTGCCCAGGGTCTGGGAGGGTCTGATGGAGCACTTGCTACACCTCCAGCTGCTACTCACCAATCCGTAGTTCAAAATTGTTGAATGAGTGTTTGTTGATTTCCTGTATGCTCTCAGTCAGGGCGAGAGAGAAGTCAGCCAGGGCACACAGATGCTCCCACTTGTCTTCACATTGCTGGAACACATGTGAGAGAAGAACCCATTCAGTGTGGCAAACAATATGGTGAACATTCTGCAGGAGGGGCTTCATGTCTAACCCCTCCTGCACCCTTAGAAGGGAATGATCCTGTGTGTGAGCCCTTGTACACTCCAGTCATTGGTATCCCAGAAACAAGGGATCACGTGATATCTGCTTACAAGTGTGCAGTGTGCGGGGGTTATTATATTCCTTCCTCCACGCCTACGCTTATCTACTCAGGTTGATGTTTCATGAGTTTCTGAGTATGCTCACTGATGTGTGGTACATGCACGTGTGACTGTGCGTGCACGTGTGACTGTGCGTGTACATGTTCCTGCATTTGTATGTGTAGTTCTTCCATTCTACAAATGATGTCTATTTCCTTAGAAGTGCTCACAGTGTCTGTTCAAGGAAAGTTTCACATAGACATTTGCTCAAGAAACTCCTGAGGGAAGTGCCTCTGTGCTCTCTGAACCTCAGTTTCCAAATCTATGAAATGAGCATAAGCATACTTGCCCTGCCTATGTCACAGAGATTGAATGAGATTACGTACATGAGAGAACTTTGTACCCCTATGGAGCAGAGGTGGGCAAACAGTTTCAGTAAAATATTTTAGGCTTTGCAGACCATATGGTCTTTGTTGTGACTACTCAACATTGCCATTTTAGCTTGAAAGAAGCAACAGACAAAATATAGATGAATGGGCATGGCTGTGTTCCAATAAAGCTTTATTTATAGAAACAAATGGTGGGCCAGATTTGGTCTTTGGGCCGCAGTTTTCTGACCACTGCTATGGAGTGTCACACACGTGTACCAAATTACCCACATGGGTTTCTTCCCAGAGAGCCACTCTCGGAGTACTTTTAGGCTTTTATTTGGAAAGAAAGTGCAGTAAGGACAAGAAGAAATGAATGGGGATTCATCTCCACCGGGAACTTGAACTCATGCTCATTTAGCATTTACTGAGGACTTGCTAGATGCAAGCTTTGTGTGGGGAGAGTGATATTATCTCAGATAATTCATCCATTAACCGTGGAAAGTTGACATTCGTGTTACTATTTAGCACGAGTGCCTGGCACACAGCCCCAAGTTCCTCTTTGTGAACAGGAGCTATTATTATTATTATTACCTATGACTTTTGAAGGAGAAAGCAAAAATAAGAAATAGAAAACTGGCTAGCATTAGGAGTTTAGTAATACCCACAACTAAACCATAATCAGGGTATTTCTTGATTTTTGTTCCAGTGAACAGTGAAGTTCAGAATGAAGCTGTAGTTGATTGAATTATGTCCCCCCAAAACTCAGTGAAGCTTGAATTGTATCCCCCAAGTTTTATGTATTAGAAACTTAACCCCCACTGTGACTCTTAACAGGGTGGGAAATCCTATTACGGTAATTGTAAGGTGGGGCCCTGAAGAGGTGAACGGGTTGTAGGACCGTGCAGTAGTGAATGGATTAAAAATGGTGGCCAGGGGTGTGGTTCTGAGGGCTTTAAACAAAGAGAAAAGTCTGTCACTCTCTCTCTGCTGTCTCTGCTTCCACCATCTTGCAATGTGAGACCCCTGGTCACTGTTGCCACCACCAGATGGACTTTGGACTTCCCAGCCTCAGAACTGTAAGCAATAAATTTCATTGTCTTTATAAATCACCCAGTTCTGTGTATTCTGTTATAAGCAACACAAATGGACTAATACAGAAGCCTAGAAGTTTCTCAACAAAGCAGCATCATTTCACCCAGTAGACTCCACCTCCCTCGGGAGTAGATGTACATCACAGGCTATTATCATTCGGTTCAATAGATTTTCTCCCCACTGTTCCCCAAGCCTCTTGGGGATAGAGACTTTGCCACCTTCAGCTACTTGACACCAGCAAGGCCCCTGCCGTAGGTTGTGGCTGAGCCTATAGAGTCCTTTACCTGTTTTTCAGGTGACAGGCCTGACACAGCCATGTAGGTGCTGCCAATGGTCTTAATCTTTTCAATGTCTTGAAAACGGTCTTCACCGAGCAACTGAAACAGATCCAGGCAACAGTGTTAGTATTGGTGTTTACTCCTCTAGGAGACTGGGCCTCCTGAGAACAGGCCCCCGGCTCACAATGAAGATCTACCTCTGACGGCTCAGCGTCCCTGACGTAGCTGCTGTTCTGTCTGAGAATCATGCATGCAGCCAGTCAACATATATTTATCGAGCACCTACTATGTGCCAGGAGTTGAAATGGGTGTGACCAGATGCCCTTTAAGGAGTGGATCTGTTTCCATGCCTCTTTGAAATAAACAAGTCTATTTGGTTAGCTTAAAGAAGAAATTACAAATGTTCCTAAATCCATGAACAAATCTTTTTGGCTTTGCTTTCTACATGTACTTAGAATCTTACAACTTCTCAGCACTTCCCAGCCAGTGCCCTGGTCAAAGTCCCTGTGAGCTTTCAGCTGGACCATTGCTATAACCTGTCTGCTCCTGCCTTTGCCTCCTACTCCCAGCCAGAGTGATCCCACTCACACGTACATCAGACCATGTTCCTACTTTGTGCAAAACTGTCCTACAGCTTCCTGTTCTACCCAGGGTCAAAGCCAATCTATACTGTGGCCTATGAGGCTTGCCATGACCTGTCCCCTCCCATATTGTCCCTTGGCTCACTCTGCTCCAGCCACACTGACCTCTTCTGCTGCTTGCCACACTGACCTGAGAACAAACCAGGCCTGTTTCTGCCTCAGGACCTTTGCATCTGCTGTTTCCTGTTGGACTCCTCTTCCTTCAGGCACCTGCATGCCTCACTCCCTCACCTCCTGCTGGTCTTTCCTCAAAGTCCATCTTCTGTGTGTGTTGACCACCCTATCTAAAATTAAACACAGCGTCTTATCCCCACACACATTCCTATTTTCTGTCCCTGCTTCACCTTCTCTCCTTAGCAGTCATCCCTGGTTTTGCTTATTGATTGTCATCTTCCCCACTGGAATGTAAGATTCCTGGGGCAGGTATTTTTGCCAGTTGTGTTTACAACTCAGCACCTAGACAGAGCCTAGAACACAGTAGGGATAAATGAATGAATGAATGACTAAATGAAAGAATGGGTGCCACCCCAGACATGTCCTTCATCTTTACCTACAGTTTAAATTTTAATGCTAAAGATGGCAAACCTTGGTCTCTTATTTGGTAACTATGGTAGGTAGAATAATCCCCGCACCCCCCTGACCAAACCCCCAAAGATGTCCATGTCTTAATTCCTGGAACCTGTGCATATGTCATCTTATGTGGCAGAAGGGGATTTGCAGATGTGATTAAGTTAAGGTTCTTGAGATGGGGAGATTTCCTGGATAACCTGGGTGGGCCCAATCTAATCATAAGGGTCCTTATAAGTGAAAGAGAGAAGCAGGGAATTAGAGAAAGAAAAGCTAGGATGGAGTTACAGCAACAGTTAAGCCAGATTACTGGCTTTGAAGGTGGAGAAAGAGAGGGTTGTGAGCCCCGAAATGAGTGGCTTCTAAAACTGGAAAAGGCAAAGAATTCGATTTTAGCCCTGTGAGACTTCTGACCTCAAAACTGTAAGATAATACATTTCTGTTGTTTCAAGCCCCTAAGTTTGTGGTAATTTGTTACAGCAGCAATAGGAGACGAATACAACAACTACTCATTGAACTCCTACCATGTCTAATGAACAAGATGTGTGAAGTCCTGGACGTCATGGAGCTAGCAGCCCAAGTAGGGAGGTCAGATGTTACATAAATAATCACACAAAACATGATCTCGTTCAAGTTTAATAAAGTTTATGATAGAAGCCTGTAGGGTGTAGTGATGAGGAGAGTGGGTCATTTTCATCTAATCTGGAGGATCTGGGAAGGCATTTCGGAGCAAGTGACTTCTAACTTCAGTTCTAACAGGTGAAGAGGGCTTTTCTAGTGGTGGGTGTGTGAGTTTACCTGCGTTGGGGAGGCGAGGTGCATGGGAAAGGTTGAAGGAGCATCCAGACATAAGGGGCAGTGTAAATGAGGCCAGGGGTGGGAAGGATACATTAGAGGTTCAAAGAATGAAGAGAGGGCCAATTTGGCTACAGCACAGTCACCAGACTGCCAGATAAAGAAGATGAACCAAGAGAGGTACTGGGGACAAGAGCATGCAAGGCCTGTCTGGTAGGGCACACAGATAATATAATAATAGTCACATTAAAGACACAGGCCTCCATGCTAAGAGCATGGCAAGCACTGAAAGGGTATAAGCAGGAAGAGACTGGGCTGGATTTGGATTTTGGAAAGGTCATCGTGGTTGCCACGGGGGAAAGGAAACAGGTAGGAAGATGAGTTAGGGGCCCATTGCAGGGTCCAGGCAGGAGATGCTCATGGCTTAGGTTAGGGATGGAGACACGTACTTGGATAAGTGCTTTGTGGTCTTTCTGAGAATTAGCTTCTGACAACATTTGCTAGTCCAGAATGTATTTTTGTGTGTATGTGCGCCTGTATGAAATCATGTGTGCATATGTGTGCGCATGTGCATATATATGAGGGGTCTCCAAAAAGTTCATGGAAAAATTCATATTACCTTTTAATTCCATTTTCCTGAGAACTTTTATGTGCAGGTGGTGTTCATGTGCATGTGTCCACACGTGTGCATGTGTGTGTTTGTGTGTGGGCATGCACACACCGGTGTGTATTGTGTGCAGGTGTGGTGTTTATGTACATGTGTGTCCACACATGTGCATATGTGTGTAGGGTATGCACTGCTTATGTTCACATGTGCATGTGTGCCCACATGTGCATATACATGCTCGTGTGTGGGTGTGCACACATGTTTATATGCACGTGTGTTCATGTGTATGCATTTGTGTCTGGGTGTGCATACATGTGCACATGTCACTGTGGTGTTTATGTGTATGTGCATCTGCATGTGTGCATGTGTGTGCATATTTGTGTTTAGGGTAGGGAGGCAGAGAAGGGGCAGGCAGGATAGTCAAGGCTAATTTTAAGTTGCACAACTTGCTTGTCTGTCACGTGCACTCATTTTATATTGGCTTGGTATAAGCACCAAGAATTTCTAAGCTCCAAAGACTGCCAAGCGATGAACTCAGATAAAGTAATTTCCTAAACTCTGATGGACTGCTAACCTTCATGTGTGTGTGCTACCTGGTTGACTTGAAGCATGCACCTGTGCGTGGCCCTGCCCTGAGAAAACTTCCTGGGTGCTCTTACACTCTCAGCCCTCCTCTGTCATTGCCACTTTGTATTGCTTGATTGACATTTGGCATCCCAAGTGGACAGTGAGATTTCTGAGACTGGTGACAATGTTGCATGTTTCCTTGTATCCCACATCTAAGGGCCTGGGATGCATTGATAATTGTTAATATTCCATGTGGACATTAGCGATATTTGGATGACTTCTCCCCTCAGTGCAGTTTAACAAGCTTTCACTCAGTGTCTACAATGTGCCATGCAACCCCAACCAGTAATTCTTTTAATTCTTTTATCTTTTTTTTTTTTTTTTTTTTTTTTTAAAAGAGACTC